AAATTCATTTTAAACTTTTTTCAACCTGCCGCTAGAGGGCGCTCTAACGTGTTATGACGTCACCGGTAATTTTTTTGTAAAATACAGACCAGCCACAGACTAACAATGTTGCCAGCAAGTTCACATCTTTTTCCAATTTTAAATTATATGGCACTTCGAGTTACTTCTGGTTTGGATGGGAAAGAAGGGTCATGCGAGTTTGCTCACACAAGATAAAATGAAGATCCTGGTTTATACTACCAATTCCCCCAAACGTCAAGTTCAGGTCTCTCACTGCTGATTTTATACTGATTTTCAAAGATTAAATCTATTAATCTTTAACGTGACGTCACATGACCCATGATGATGTCATGATGACATAACTCTTCAAGACACAACTAGGCTATAAGGACTATGTCTATGCTGACTTTGAATGATGTGCGACAAAGATTAATGCCAAAAGTGGCGATGAGACAAGACACGTGTACAAAGTCTATGGGATTTGGGTGACAAAAGAAGAAAGAAAACTCAGAACAAAAGGAAAGGCTTCCGCAACTATGCGGAAAGAGCCAAAAATCAGAACAAAAACTATTAGGCTTTTCTGCAAATTGCAGAAAAGCCAAATATCATACTTTTTAAACATCCTCTCTCAAACACCTTATTTGTATCTAAAGAGTCTAAAAACGTATTTTGATATAATATTTTAAAACTTGATCCATCATGTTGAATGTGTGAAAGACGTCTGACAAAATGTCCTTCCGAACGTTTTCATTTAAGGCATGATGTGAATTCTTTTTGCTTTATGGCGAATTGGGAGTAGCAGCCATTTTCCAGTCGTTAAAATCCTAGTTGCATTTAGCACGCTTACAGTAAACCACTCAATGTGTACGTATAGCCTATGGTCTCTATGGAATGACCGCTCTATAACAACGGATGGTACCCTACTCAGACTACATGGACAAACTTGAGTATGATGCGTTGTCCATAACACACGCATAGTGCTACTCATGTACATGACGTGTGGCAGGCTCAGGATGTCCAGCTATCGCGTGCTGGTTGCTAATTCGCTATGTATCTGCATTCTTTTCAACCGATTATGCTAGTGCGCACGAACGCCCAGAGGTTTGTGTTTTTTTGTAACTCTAAGAAACATGTTAATGTCAGCAAGTCAAATTTGTTCGAGTCAAGTCAAGCCACAAGTCATATTTTTTCAAGTCAAGTCAAGTCTCAAGTCATTTTTTCCTAAATCAAAGTCAAGTCTCAAGTAAAAAAAATAGCTACTTGAGTCCGACTCAACAACTCAAGTCAACAACATTGTCACTGCGAGAAGTTACTGAAAATTTCTCATGGAAATCAATCGGCCTCAAACTCGGCTTGTAGGTTCACATACTCAGGCGTGTCCAAATTTCACCAAAATTAAGGACTTTTTTATATGGTTCCTTCTTGAGTAATTTGTCTGCAAACGTACGGTACAAAGTGCCACTTCGTACTTCTCGATCAAGACTTTCTTCAAAATGGCCGACTAGTCTGTGCAGGCGCGCACAGCTCATTGCCCAAAAAACCTGACAGTTGTTTCATAAATTCAGGATATTTCATGAAACAACCGTTTATTTTTTTGGTGTGACGAGCTATGCACGTCTGCGCAGAGTTGTCGGCCATTTTGAAGCAAGTCTTGATCGGGAAGTAGGAAGTGGCTTATCTGCGACAGGGCTGCCACCTCTCACGCATTGAGCATGAGACTCGCACATTTCAGGTTGTTCTCACACTCTCACGCGCACACAGAATTTCTCACGCTAACAAAAAAAAACGAAAATGGTGTCTAAATGATCATTTATTAAAAAAAATACTGGTTAAACTGGTCAGAAATTGCCTAAGATCACGCCACAGAGCGACTGGAAATAAAAATATTTCGGGACCCTTATAAAGGGGGTTCCAAGCCGTTGGTGCATATGGCAACCGGTGAATTTGGATCGTAAAAGTACCATTTGAACAAACATCAATGGAGAAAGAGAATTTCTGCAAATTAATATCCAGAGCGGAATAAAATTTCTATGTACATGTATATTCTGTTTCAATAAATCTATAACGAGCGGGTTGTGAAACAGCGTAGCATGTTTCTGCAACAAGTTCGGCCATGGCACGGGTCGTACACAGTTGTTATGCACTTTGATACTGTGTCGTGTGCGCAACGCGATGTACGGCCAGCCTGAGTGAATAACATTGAGCATATGTGATGCGGTCAAGCTACATGAGTCGTTTGTCGACCCTGATCAATTTTTTTATTACAGATTTCAAAAGAGCACAATCTCAGCATTATTGCTGTGAAAACCGCATGCTGAAACCATCTTTAGTTCAAAACTTAAGGAAGTCTGAACACCAAGAGATGTGATGAAGTGGCCCTGTATCTCCTATTTTGGCCTGTATCTCCACATAAAAATTCCCAACAAACGACTCCTTTAGCTTGATCGCATCACATACATAAAGTGATGTGGACGTCTTAACTTCTCCATTATTTTTACGAATCACCCACATCAAATAGATTTTTGAATTAGTTGAGGCAAGTTTTTATAATTTTTGATGGCCACTCTCTTTCTTTCTGACCTACCGACCCTATTTTGGAAGGCATCAGAAGCAGACGTAATTTTTTCTTCGACTTAATTTCTTAATTTGAAACATACTTGTTATCCGTACTTTTCCAGTTCAGGAATATGTAATGTTTGTGAAATGTTCATTGTTTTTTTTATTACAAAAGAATATTATAAATCTCCTCTGAATTTTAAGGAAAAATCCATCTTAAAGACCCCCCCCCCCTCCCAGATTTGCTCTAAAATGCACCGTAGAGCTTCTAAAGTTTAAACTTTTTGGGGGCCCTTAAGGGGGCCCTGAACCCCACGCCATGGCTTCGCAAGTTGTTGAATCACGACAAAACTTCCCCCAAATTCTCACTTTCTCACTAAAGCCATGTGAATCGATCCCTCACTTTTTCGAGCCGGCATTCCTCTGCGCATGCGCACTTATGTATGCAATATTACATGTACATGTTACATATTAGGGACCGTACACGAACCACCACGCATCGATCTGCGCATCAGTCGTGAACAGTACTGCACAACATTGTTTCTAAGTTGCCGCACGATCGCTCTTTCAATTTGGGAAGGTACTGATTGTCATCATTATTTGCAATCATGTCTAAAAAAAAAAAAAATTTAGGCCAAAAAAAATAATAAGTCGGTCTCTGGTCAGCGCACGCGTCGATTTAAATCATACGCGTCGATCTTTTTTTTCTCCAAAATGTTCCGCGGTAGCTCCAATAGCGCCCTCTATTTCCGCACCTCAATTTTTTTTTACCAAAGAGCACCAAGAAATGGGAAATTGCACCAAGGCAAATGATCGAAAGCACCAAGGCAAATTATGGAGGACACCAATGTACATGAGGACACCAAAAAAGCAAAATAGTACCCACCTTGTCTATACAATCCAAGCTTGAAGAAAAAAAAAAAAAAAGCAACAAAAAAAAAAAAGCCGCGTGGCCGCGTCAATTCCAAAACTTTGGTCTGACCAGAGACCGAATATTTTTAATTTTTTTTTGCCTTATAAAGCAAAATATTCCATCTCAATATAGGACTCAACTTCAGAATTTCAAGCTACATGTACCCGTGCATGAACAGAATGAAGAAATCTCTTGTGTTTATACATGTGTTATTTATTATTTGGGGGTCTGATGACAAGTTTCACAAATATTGCAGGATCCATGCTGGAAGGGCAAATAAAACACATGCATGCTTTGCAATTATAATGCACATCTTGACATGTAAGATCATTTTGTTGTCATCTTATTCATTCATTTTGTTACTTAGTATCATAACACTATTACTTGTCATTAGCTTTTAACTATTAGAGATGCATTCCCCTTGCTATTTTCGAATTTCATCCCCATAAAAATGTCTTCCTTTAATTAAAGTGTTATTTTTCTGGCAGTAGGCGTACTAAAGTTATTCACTTTTGTATGAGACATGGCCAATGTTTACTGATTTGTATGCTTTTCCTGATAAATGAGGGCGCTGTTGCTGGGACGTCATTTCAGGAAGACACTGGGTGCATTCGAGTAGCTCACCCGGATCGACTCGGGTAAAGGCAGACAGGTTAGCCACGACAGCCGGGCTAATCGAACGCTAAACCGCAGGCCACCATGATCCTCGCGTGACGCCCGTAGCCGTTGCCGTAGCCACTGACAAAGCGCCCGTTTCGGAAATGGGTCTTGGTTTGAGATTTACTGCTTTTGAGTCAATTGCAAAACTAAAAAAAAGTTGGGCTGGAATTAAAGCCTCAAAAGTCGCAATGAACTCAAATGATTACCTTTACTTCAAATAAAGTTCATTTCTAAGTCCACTTGAGATTTCCGCTGTCCAGCAGCCATATTTGTCCGTTTCTTGGAATGATCAACGCATGCATGTGACATTTTTCCACCACTAACTCTGCTCACGAGCAAGGTTTGTGGTGGCTGACCCGGGTGAGCCCCGAGAATGACGTCAGGGCTAATTGGACACATCAGATGTTAAACATGCACAGTAGACTTAAATCCGTGGATAACGGGTGATACTCGGACTAACTGCCGTGTAGGTCTACTGAAACAATGACGAATCACCAAAGAAAAGAAAATTTGAGACAACAAAATATCTGAAATTCTGGCAAATTTTGGTGGTGAAATAGCTGTTACATTGAGGTTTCTGCATGAAATTACATCACACTTTTGCTAATGAATACCGGTATGTACATTTGCATTAGCATAAACACCAAAAGGGCACCAAAATGCCCTTAAAATAGCAAGTTGAAAATAAGGTTAAGTGGAACACAAAGGTGCATGTACAAGGATTGCATTAAAGATTTTTTTAAAAATTACATTACATGGACCCTCTAACTTTGATCACATTAGGCATTGAGAGAGTAAAAACAGCAAAAGCTCAGATATGTGTGCATCTATAGTACCGTACATTAATGCAAATTGTCTGATTTCCTTACAGGTTCTGGAGATCAAGAATATACCTCTTGTGTGTGATGCTCCTTGCACAACCATTTGGAGAGGCACACTGGCTGACTCTAGGCAATCTACTTTTTCCATATAAATATTAGTTTGTGTTCCATGTTACAACCACAAGACAAGCTCCCTTTGACGGGATGCTGTGAATGATGACATCTGCATATGCTCAGTCTCAAGAGTGATATTTTCCAGCACTACATGTAGTGCATGTAGCTGATTTTGACAATGAGAGAGTGGTATTGTGGCTGTGCAAATATTGCCTAATACTCTGAGTCTTTCGTGTCAACTGTTTATGTGAGCCTCTTCATGTCTGCATTATTCAAGTATGCATTGGTAAATAGAATTGGCTGTGGATTTCATAACTAGTGCTGTGCAATACGACTCATACTGAAACATACATCATCTGAGCATCGAGGAAGTTCACATGTGTTCTTATACACATGGTTGACATTCAACAACACTTCTTTGCATCACTGTGATGAATGTAATGATGGAGTAGTTGATATTACCTCTTCGGGACATACAATTTAAACACTACGTAACCTGTTAATGGAGTAACCAGGTGATGTCTTAATGGCGAAGTTGAATAACAGCATTTAGTGATCAAGCTCCCCTGTCCAGAAGCTGACAAAATGGTGAAGACATTCCAAGCATATCTACCAAGTTGTCACAGACGTTACAGCTGCATACACTGTAGAGCACACCTGGCTAACCATGACGACCTTATATCTAAGGTGAGACTTAGGTGGCCTTCATGGCTGATGAATGTTATCACAAAGCCAAGGATCAGGACCACACAAAAGCCTGCCGCACATTCCAGGCCGTTTGCTCAGTACGTAGCTCACAAAATATCCCTGTGTGCGATAAACTTTTGCTGATTTTTTTGCCTCTCGAGGTTGGGAGGCAAATATCTATCGTGTTTGATTTTTTTTTTGCCTCACAAGGCGAAAAACTCGGCAAGTGCGGTCAACCTGAGCTACGTGCTGAGCTAAAAAGACTAACTAGCCAATGAAATCACATACTCTGTACACCTGATTTGAAGAAATTTGGAGGGAAATGTTCCAAAGCCTGCTGGTGTTTGTCCCCATTATTTTAAATCATAATGTGCTTTCATTGGTCAGTTTAATAATCTGTTGAGCTCGGCAAGTAGCTCAGGTTGACCGCGCACGGGGACATTTTGTGAGCCGCATGTACGTGCTGAGCAAATGGCCTCAAATGCCATATCCCACATAGCAGTCAACAATTGTTTTGTTATTTCTTGTCAATAAGTGAAAAGACGAATATTTCTAACCTTGCAAGAAATAAACGAAATCACTGCGGTATAACCTATGATACCATAGCTGCAGGCTTTCCTGTAGGACATGAGACTGTGCGCTTGCATGTCTCAGTCACGAGTGCATTCGCAGGCACTATGCATGCGATCCCCTCGGTTTATATGTAGCACACCCATATGAGGTTTATTATGGAAAACAGTTTATATGCAAAGCAGTGGTTGTTTTTACCGACTGGACATGTGGCCATTATAGACTAATGAAATTACGGTATCCAAGCACACGATATAATGACAATTCAGTGTGTAACTTTGTTTGGTCACATCACACCACATTGGAATTGCTGCATGTACTTTTACATGGATACTTGCGTGGATGTTACGAACCACTGTGGTGTAAAAATCCTGTCGGCAGAATGGCCCAATCTGCCTCTCTTTACAAACACTTATAAAAAAATAGACGTTTATATTCATAAGACGTTGGTATTCATTAGATAAATTTGTTCAGATGTGGAGCTTTCACAAAGACAGAAATTCACCCTTTTAGTTTTAGAGGACGTTGCTTGTAATGTTTAAGGGTTTTTAAAGAATTTTATTATTTGACCCAAAAGATTTTCCACATACCGAGATTCTTTGTATCATTCATTCATTAACCCTAAAAGGGCCTGGTTATGTTGACCATCTCACAGGGGGGGGGGGGGGGGGATTGCCCCCCTAAGTTTTCAGCCATCAAGTGACAAAAAATTATGAAACTCAGTACATGCATAGAACAACATGAACATACCCAAGAAATTTTATGACCATAGGTCAAAGGGTTTTGGAATTATAGCTAATTAATTATTCATGTGCACTTATGATAACTCTGCTTTGTGTCCACTCTGTATATGGGAAATTCAGTTTTCACAGCGTGTAGGGCCGTAAAATTTCGCTGCACCACAAGCCGTGGTCCGAATTTTATGTTTTTGGTGTCAAAAGATGCGCAAGACTCTGCTAAAAAGTCAGGACAGCTCGGGTCGCGGGGGGAAAAAATTCAAGAGTATCACGGAAAAAGCCCCCTCAGCCCCCTCCCCTGGCTCATTTAGGGTTACCTTTTTGGCTATGGTCAGCTGATGTGAGAGTCGTTGCACATTGTTAGCTTTTCAGTCTGTTTGGAAATTAACTCTGCAGCCAAAAGATTTAGATTTGGTTTTCTTAAGCGTTCTCAAGTTTGCTTCTTTTCTTTTCTAATTATTTTTCTTTGCAGTCTTTCCAGGGGAGCCAAGGACGTGCATACCTCTTCAATTCTGTGTGAGTAGTAATTTTTATTGCTGCAGTATATTGTCAGCAAAACATTCTTATTATCAAATGGAGAATCAATGACATGTATCGTCAGACCCCCTAAAGCCACGTGGTCGTATTTCTACGCACTCCCCTTCGATTTTGTGTGTGACGCACATGCACTGCAAGGGTTACCCGCGCAGATAATGGATTAGCCTGCCATGTTTGTTCTTGACGTTTTCATCTATTCCCCAATAAGTGGGGAGTGAAAATCTTGTTTGGGAATGCCGTTCTCGTGTTGGTTCTCGTCATTCGAAAACCCTTTCTCGTGTTTACTCAACATGAGAACGGGGTTTCGAATATGCCCACAGTGAACGCAGTGTTACCAGCAACTTTTTGTGTGTATCATGCTTTATGGACGGCCACTTTACATTGTGTTTGTGTGCACTGTGCGTCTGCTCTTCTTTGTGGCTGTTGAGACCTGGACATTGTGAAAGAAAGAACAACAGTCCATTCAGCTTTCCATATCGTCGTGTCAGTGGGAAAAACTTGTTAAATTAAAAGATAAAGCAACTTCAGGAAGATGATATATTCGGAAACATGATAATATATTCGGAAACATGTATATGTTGAACTCTTTGTTATCCCGATTGATTTTAGATAAAAGACCTTTTAAACTAGTGAGATCAACACACAACTTTTTTTTGCTTGAGGCAACACGCTATATACTTGCGCCATCCCTAAAAACATCTCGGAATTGAACAGCATACAGTACTTAGTTTGTCCAACTCAAAATATGTTTTAACATTTCCTAAAAGAAATATTTAGATACCTTTTTGGAATCAGAAATATTGCAGCGACGTAGCTTTTGATGTCATCGCGACATCTTCATTCAGCGTTCCTGATGACGACTTGAGTTAGAAATGTTGTTTGGGATTATAACTTCGGTAGGGGGTTGCCCTTGGGAACAGGCAAATAGGTTTTGGGGTCAAAAGGTCAAATTCAAGGTCATCATGGTGAGTTTAAGCTTAATGGTTTTCAGATGATAATCTGCGTTAGAAATGTGATTTGGCTTTCTAAATTAAGAAGGGGGTTGCCTTTGGGTAAAGGCAAGTTGGGATTGGTTTTGGGGTCTCGAGGTCAAAGGTCAAGGTCACAGCACGGTGAGCCAAAAGTTAATGGTTTCCGGATGATAAAGTTCTGGACTCCGGCTGAGGGGTTTCAACAGCAATGCTGTTATTTTTTCATTTCCTAGGAATTTGTACCAAGAAAAAAAGAATAAACTTTTACTGAAATGGGGTGCACTCAAATATTTAGAAATGATAAATTTGCAGAGCAGTATATTGGGTGTGTGAGGTCACAAAGATAGGAATGTACCAGTATGGAAATAGAAGATCTGCCTGGATCATCAGTCACTGTAGACATTTCTATTGTGCTATTAAAACTCGCCACATTGCTGTGTCTTTGTTGTTTTCACCTCTTGATGATATCATCTCTCATCAAAAAACATTGAAAAGATGTCCCCATGGGCTCTCTGTTCCTTTTCCTATAAGAAATAGTTAATTGTTTTTCATCAACTATGAAAAGATTAAGAAATTCTGTGTTTTATTGTGTATTCACTGTGGGATGTGTTGTAGTGATGTATTTGATATTAACTTGAAGGAATCAAGTGTTTGAGTTACATAAAGTTGTAAACAAGTCAATTCACAAGTTCTCACAAGTAAAACTGGGGATGAGCACTATGAAAGGAATTTCCTTGTCAGGGTTCATTTGAATATCTTCAGATGACTTTTGATTGACTTGTGATCCAAGTATCTTCACTGCAACACTTGAAGAATATCACGCTATCCTTCGTCCCAATTCAGTGTGAACATTGCCTGTGGCCCTGCAGAGGAGAGGGTTTTACTGACGGGTTTGCATGCTGTCTCAGACATCTTCTGTGAATGTTGTAAGACCACCTTAGGATGGAAATATGTGAGTAACTTGGCAAGTTCTAGTGTATATTTTTCCAGATTTTCTAACTGTAAAAACTACATGTAGCTGTTACTAACTTACTGTTTCCTTGTATGTCAAATGAAACCAATACCTAAAACTGTCAGGTCTCGGGGATTACTGGGAGATAGAGATAAAGACAAAGGATCAAAAGAAACCGAAGTCAATCTCAAAAGGCCTTTCCACACTAGAGCCTCTCAACTCTGGTTGAACCCTGTGCAAAACCAGTGCCGTCCCGGGTGGAGTTTTTGATTTTTCAACAGTGCTTTCAACTACGCATCCTTTCAGACTTGTTTCATGCAAAGTGGTCTTATTTCGCTTGCTTCAACCGTGGCAAGAGTTTCAACCCAGGTTGAAAATCTCAACCCTGGTCTGGAGTTGGGTTTAAATCAACCCGGGGTAAAATCATCTCAGGGTTGACGCAGGGTTCGAGCTAGCCTTGGTCAAGACGTTTGTCATTAAACTGATTTGCATAAAATAGTGGTGGCATGAGGTAACTGTTCCCTCTGCATTTTTAATGCACTGCATGCATAGCGAGGATATGCTGCCGATCTTTTACCGCGTACGGACGAATAATGACGAACGCCTTGACCAAGGCCAGAGTTATAATAACTCGAGTCAATGTCTCGACTCGAGTCCGACACGAGTCACAATTTTTGGTGACTCGACTCGACTCGAGTCCCTGAGGGCAAATGACTCAACTCGAGTCACTACGAGCAAATGACTCGATTTGACTGGAGTCTCTCATCAGAATGACTCAACTCGACTCGAGGAAGGCTCATAAGACTTAAGTCCCAAAAATAAAAGCAAAACTTCGCAAAAATATTTCCAATGACTTACACCAGTGCCGGTGTTTGTTGACTTCACGTTAGAATGTTCGCGAATAATGTATACATGTATGTTGTTTGATCAGTGTCCCCTTTAGTTGAATGGCGATCAGCTGGCACCCCCTTTTATTTCAAATGTGGTGTCACCACATGTAGTAGCCCGAATGAAAAATTTTAAAAGCCAAAAAATGACTTTCTCTTTTGTGTTTATGTATTGTATAGTGTTCAACTATTTGTGACTTGAATTGACTCAACTCAACTCGACTTGACTAAACACTGTGACTCGACTCGACTGGACCTTTTAGACCTAATGACTCGACTCGACTCAAGTCGAGTCACTTCTTTAAAGTGACTCGACTCGACTTGAGTCATAAAAATCAGTGACTCGTTACAACTCTGACCAAGGCTAGGTAGGAGCAGGATTGAAAATTTTCAAATGTGAAAAGCTGCATGTTTGCAATGTTACCTCAACCCGGAGATTTGTCTAGTGTAAAAAGGCCTTTTCGAGAGATGTTTTGAAATTGATATTGGCATTGCATTTCTCACAATTGTGGAAAAATGGGTTTTTTTGGGGGGGGGGGGGCTGGGAGGGGGAGAGTTGTGGGTGTGGGGATGATTGGGTACCACCAGTCACTATTTTAAAATTGTTTACATTTTTCTATCTACTTTTTTTTCTGGACAGTATTCAGGCATGCAACTTTTCCTTAGATACGCTGATTTCCTCCTTTTTAATGCCATTACAAATTGAAAAACACTGTACAAAGTCTTGTGTGCTTTGGAATTCCCTTGCTTTTTCTAAATTCCCAGCTGCATTCCTGAGTATTTCTAATCAGTGAATTGTATAAACGTGGAACATTGAACCAAGAACCCTGAATTGGAGGGGTGCATGTAGGTATCACATTTCTAGCAATTTGATCTTCATTCATTTATTTATAACTTGTGAACACTTTACTTTGTAATCTGATAGACAAGGGGTTAGTTGAGGTTCAAAGTTGAATGAATTCTTAATGTAAACAGTTCAAAAGCCTCAAAATCAAAAGAAGCTCATTGTCTTTTAAACAAGTAAAAGGATGAAGATGAAACCTGGTATGAACACGAACCCTTGTTCGAAGATATGAATAGTTTGATGCCGTTACCACGACATCACCCCTCTGCACACAAGTTCACTATGGAGTCTGTACCTAAGTTAAGTCTTATGACAAAAGTGACAGGCTCAATAAAACATGTACTGTAATTTTCAGAATATAGGCTGTGCAGAGTATAAGCCGTGCAGAGTATAAGCCGCAGCACGCAAAATCTGCAAATTATGATATGAAGTTGGCGTATTAGCCGCTCCGGCGTATAAGCCGCACTGGCTGCAGTTTCAATTTTGTAAAGCCTCCAATTTCAAAAGTCAAAGCTCTGGACCAGTTCTTTTTACACTACACGAGGCCAAAAAAGTTATATCAAAACATTTACTCTTAAAATAAATATGTAAATTGACGATGAGAAATAACAGGAATTGCTGCCGGCTGGCCTAGCCAGTACCTAGCCTTAAAGTTAGCGCATGGCCCGGCAGCCTGTGCCAGCACGGCGAATGACAACATTTCCCCCCATCAATAAGAGAGTATACAACACACCATACCCTACAAATCTTGCTTTGTGGCAATAGATGTTGATTGTATGCGATTTGGGGTGGGACAAATAGAAAAAGGAACATAGGGTTTTTCTGCTTTACAATTTTTAAATTTTAAATTTAACAATTTAGTAAACTTGACCCCGATTGGCTGGCCAGCAGGGTCAAATAAATTTGCATGCTTGGATATCAGACATTGGACCGGAGACAAGGTCTCCGTGGACAACAGGTCAATTGGACTTGTAGTTTTCAAGATATACCGGTACCAGTAGGACAAGTGTGCACCTTCAAAATTACGTCGCATGACCACTGATGAAATTGAATATTACACTTTGGACGGCATTTTTTGGTAATAGCAGGCAACCATGTCAGATCATTCAGTCGTAGTGTGGGGAAGAAAATGTAGGTGGATGCCACCCTTAATTTGACCCAAGTATACCTAATTTGCATGAATTGGTAATCATTGCCATGTAATATTATTCCCATATTTGGATATATTTAACTGTTTCGGTGTGCCACTTTTTTCCCATAGGATAACACGTGTTTTCGTTCTACACAGCACTTTGGGACTTTTTTCACATGCGATCGACTTCAAACCTGGCACACACTGAGGCCACCATCTGAATATTCAGGCCGAATCATGACGTCATCATGACGTCGTCACATGACATCATCCGAATAGTGCATATTTTAAGGCCCTATGTCTACAGAACCGGAATTCCGATCAGGTTCAAACTCGGTATGAAAGTATTCCGGGACGTGTTATAGACAAAAATTGAAGTGACGTCACGATGACGACGTCGTCATGACGTGTGATTTTATATGAATTATTAAATTTTTCGGACCTTTTACTCATATCTCATCAACAGAACATGGTAAATTCGAAATTGTTTTTGTAAAAGGTTTGTTAGGTCATAGATAGTTGCACACAATTTCGTGAAATGTTGTGACGTCATCAAAAACGTGATTTTTTTATTCACACATAAGGGTATGTCCGATCGTTATGAAACTTGGTGTGAAGGTAGATAGTGATAAAAGCATTGAAAATCTGAAGTGACATCATCATGACGTCATCATCTGATTTTTTATTAATTTTTAAAAATTTAATGTTTTCTTCTAATTAACAAAACTTACATAAACTACGCTCCGATCGACTTCAAACCTTGCACACACTTAGACCACCATCTGAAGATTCAGGCCGAATCTTGACATCATCATGACGTCATCACGTGACGTCATCTTACAATTGTATAGTTTAAGTCCCTATATCTACAGAGCCGGAGGTCCGATCGGGTTCAAACTCTGTATGCAAGTATTCCGGGAAGTGTTATAGACAAAAATGCAGTGACGTCACAATGAGGTCATCATGTGATTTTTGCATGAATTATTCAATTTTTGGACCTTTTACTCATATCTCAACAACGCAATGTGGTAAATTCGAAATTCTTTTTGCAAAAGGTTATTTAGGTCGTAGATAGATACAAAAAAATTCCAAAACATGTGTCACGTCACCATGACGTCATGAATTTTTTTTTTTTTTTCAACATCTGATCCATACTTGACCACCATGTATGTAATACTCATGTACTTGGTCATTCGACTTGGATGAAACTCCTTTTTAAAAACAAGTTATTGCTAAAATGGTCGAAACTGCTCAGTGTTTGTCCACAAACATTTATAGTTGGCTTTTTCGCAAATTTGTGAAAAAGCCTTTGTTTTTGTTCTGATTTTTTTGTTGGCTTTTTCGCAATTTGCGAAAAAGCCTTTCTTTTTGTTCTGATTTTTGGCTTTTCCGCTGAACAGCGGAAAAGCCTTTGTTTTTGTTCTGATTTTTTTTCTTTCTTCTTTGTGATCTTTTTGGGTCCAACCCAAATCCCATTGACTTTGTACACGTTTTTGGTGTGACACACTTTTGACCTAAAACAAAGTCCTATTGCAATGAAACTTATCGCAGGTAAAGACCTTATAGTGAAGTTGTGTTCGAAGAGTGCCGTCATGATTACGTCATTACAAATGTGCATATTTTGAAGGTCAATATCTACAGAACAGTAAGTCTGATTGGGTTGAAACTCGGTATGTTTGTGGACCGGGATGTGTTATAGGTGAAAATTGGGGTGACGTCACAATGACGTCATCGTGCGATTTAATATAATTTTTTTGAATTTTGGAGCTTTAAGCCATATCTCGTGAACGCAAGATGCAAAATTGAAAATTCTTTTTGTATTATGTTTGTTAGGTAATATGTGTATGCCCAAAATTTAGCAAACAGTGTGACTGTTTGCAAACACGATGACGTCATCATAAGGGAAGGTCCAATTGTCATGAAACTTGGTGGATAGGTAAATGGTGTCACAAGTATGCAAAATCTCAAATGACGTCACCATGACGTCATTGGTTGTTTTTTTATGATTTTTTTAAATATTTAAAATTTTATTACACTTAAAAAAATTTACACTTTGTTTCATTGGATCAACGTCAAACTTGGTGCACATCAAGACCGCAATAAAAATATTTGCATTGACAGGTGTTGTAACGATGAC